AAAGATCACAGCCTTTATGTCCCATAAAACTGTCTTCAGTGAAGATGTGTATATTCATGAAAAGGTGCGCTTCGTTACGCTCTTTGCGTCGCAACGCTTCCTGACGTTTCTCTTCTTGTAATCGTTCAATCAGTTGTTCCGGAATATCGTCTTCTAAGACCGACTGCAGGACTTCATCTGAGAATTCAATTTAAATAACATTATAATTCATGACACGAGAGATGACCAGAGAGTTAAACACATACTGATAACACTGTCTCTAATGTAGACCAACATATAAGCGTTGGTGCAGTGCTTGACTGACACGTCTTCGTCATTACCGCCGAAGTTATGGTCAATGGCCTCGAGTTTAGTACATCTGGAGACCACGTCGTCGTCAAATTTACACCACTTCCCGTCCCCTTTAGGGTTAATGAACACAACATAGTGTCCGCCGTGATTGTCACCCGAATGGACTAAAACCGCGTGCAGTGTGTAATTGGCGGGCGTTGTCTCCGGCTTCTGCAGAAAGTCTTCTAAATTCAGTTTTTCGGGAAATTCAAACCTATCGTTAATCTTGACGTTAGTGTCGGTCAACGGGTCGTATTGAAAGCGCAACAAATGCAAGTGCAGGACCGGTGGGAACGAGTCAAATGTGATGCCCTTCTCGGCCTCTTGTAGGCCGAAGTCTCCGGCGTCGTACTTGTTCTCGCCCTCCAGTGACTCGACGGCGATGTAGTCTTTGAACGACTCGTATATATTCTTCTTCCCCTTAACGTTGAGCTGAATGTCATAAAAGGGTTCGATTCGAGACGAGGAACAGTCCACGTGTTTGCAGCGTATGAATGACTACAAGAGTGGGCGACAAATAAGGGTATAAGCGTTAAGGACAACAGTTCTATCGCATAGCAATACAACTTACGATCATTTTTCCTTCAAAAAGTCGAGGAATGGTTCCCTCAACACACGTGCACTTCATTTTGCTCTCCATATTGTCGAGTAATACGCGACACAACTCTTGGACGTCGTGCTGCATAAACGAGTCTAACGTTTCCCAACCGAACGATTTGGTCAACTTCTTAGTGCCCACCGGTTTGTCGGAGAACTGCAACTCATAGAAGACCCGCTGCAGAGCCAGTGCGACGCTTTTGGACGTGTCGTCGCTTTCAGTCGGCATCTGATACACGGCTTTCCGCAATTGATTCGTGAAAAACAATGTCTGAAGTAATGAATTCATATAACAGGTCGCGCCTTGATTTTTGAGGCCTACATAACCCGTATGTTTCTTACTGTCCCAACTGTTGGACACAAAATGCATGCATTAATACATGAAATGAAGTCAAAGAAATCTGAGCTGAGATCAAACCTGACTCCGTGCGGGGCATCGGCCGAAACCCAGACCTCTAATATAATCGCGTCGTCTTTGATGTGACCTTTTTCTACATCTAATATATCCTGAAATATCAAACAAAACCATTAAAATAATCTAATCTATCGATTAGTAATCAAATAGCCATACATTCCATCCCAGAAAGTGACTGAAACCCCAATCGTTTTCTTTGCTATAAAATATGTGTTGTATTTCTATATAACATAAGATAATTTGGTATCAGTTTAGTGGCAAAACCATAAGACAATCACGCGTTTACTTCGAGGGATATTCTCAACGCCTTCTTTTTGTGATATAATTCTTAGCTCTGCGGTCGCATTACAAGACCACGTGCTGTCAAAATCAATTCAAATACTAATTATAAACACGAATAAACAAAAACAAAGAACAATCCATACGTTGAGTCCGACTCTCCATTACACTGTAGGAAAAAGCCGAGGCTTTTGGTGGGCTGTCGGTCGTGGGCCTGATTGGTTCGCGGCATTGCCATGATTTTCCTATTCATTCAATCATTAACTAAACGTTTCATTAATAGCTGTGCCTCTCATACCAGGGAAGGTTGCGGACAAATGTGGGCGGACTCAGTGTTGTGTCCCGGAGTTTACTGAAGTTCTCGATCTTATAGCGAAACGTGGCTTCAGATCGGGCCTCATCTGTCATTACGTGATAATTACACCATAAGTATTACATAATAAGATCAGACATCCATATGATTATCACTCATACCCTCCTCATCCATGGCCTCGTCCTGATTGGAAGCGGAGTCGCCGTTCAAGAGCCGACCGTCTTCTTTATTCCTCTTGGGGTCCGCGCCGTCGATATTCAAAGACGTGATGATGTCTGACATTTAAAAAACCAGCGGTTAATATAGAAAATGATGGCTAAATAACCTCTATATATGATATGCACATACCGTCAGGTCTGACAGACTCGTCCTCGACGTGTGTATCCATCATCTCGTCGTCGGTTTGTGTGTCTTTAGGCGGCAACTGATGATTGCTTTTATCATTCGGTTGCGTCACGTGATTCATAGCGTCGTTACTCTTGTCGGAGCCGTTGGTCTCTAGTGTAGCCAATTGTTGGTCACTTTGGGAACAATTGTTGACAGCGTTTTTGGTGGACTTATTGGTGGCGTCAATGGTTTGTGCGCTTCGGTTACTGTTGTGGTGATCGTCGGCTCGACTGACAGACCGCTGCTCTTCAGTGAGGACTGTGTGATCAGTGGCTGTCTTTGTGTCGGAATTGAGGCAAATGTTATCGAAATCTTTGTGGATGTCTTCGTGGATGACCTTTCGTTGAGCGCATATATCCTTATGACTGATGAGGTCGTGATCAGAGGCAGAGGTCAGACCCGTTTGACACTCGTTTGTGGTCTTTCTGTCCGAAACGGTCACCGCTTTTGAGTGTTTGCTCGCTATTCGCCCAATGACTGGATCAGGTGGTGATCCCCTGAGANGGTCGTGATCAGAGGCAGAGGTCAGACCCGTTTGACACTCGTTTGTGGTCTTTCTGTCCGAAACGGTCACCGCTTTTGAGTGTTTGCTCGCTATTCGCCCAATGACTGGATCAGGTGGTGATCCCCTAAGAGGGGACAGGCGTGCGATCCCTCAAAATCAATGGTCAATTCGCGGCGAAGTCTTTATAGACAGGCGAACCGGCGGCGCGACGGGGAGCTGATCCACTCCTAGGTCTGTACGGCCGGTACTGTCGACACGAGTACTTCGATGGCAACCAAACGTCTTCGGCGGCCAAACAATAAGACCGAGCGATCAAAATAAACGCCGAGTGATTGCAATCGCGTGGAGACAAGTGTTGATAATTACAGAGATAGCGATGGGATGTGCTGTCACTGGTTAACCACGAATGTGTCTTCCGATCGGTTCCATCGGTGATCACTGAATGAAATGACAGCGAGAAGTGGTTGCGTTTGTTATCAAGTCTTCAGTTTTGGGATTCAATTGTCGATTGAATGCAATGTTAAATGAATTGCGAAAACAGTATTGAAATACGAGTTTTAGCGTTGAGTTTACACTGAATTGCAGTCACTTTAGTCGCTCTCCCATTCAGGTCGTGATCAGAGGCAGAGGTCAGACCCGTTTGACACTCGTTTGTGGTCTTTCTGTCCGAAACGGTCACCGCTTTTGAGTGTTTGCTCGCTATTCGCCCAATGACTGGATCAGGTGGTGATCCCCTGAGAGGGGACAGGCGTGCGATCCCTCAAAATCAATGGTCAATTCGCGGCCAAAGTGTTGATATAGAGGCGAACCGGCGGCGCGACCCACAGCTGATCCACTCCTAGGTCTGTACGGCCGGTACTGTCGACACGAGTACTTCGATGGCAACCAAACGTCTTCGGCGGCCAAACAATAAGACCGAGCGATCAAAACAAACGCCGAGTGATTGCAATCGCGTGGAGACAAGTGTTGATAATGACAGAGATAGCGATGGGATGTGCTGTCACTGGTTAACCACGAATGTGTCTTCCGATCGGTTCCATCGGTGATCACTGAATGAAATGACAGCGAGAAGTGGTTGCGTTTGTTATGATATCTTCAGTTTTGGGATTCAATTGTCGATTGAATGCAATGTTAAATGAATTGCGAAAACAGTATTGAAATACGAGTTTTAGCGTTGAGTTTACACTGAATTGCAGTCACTTTAGTCGCTCTCCCATTCACTCCCATTCACTCTCTTTCACTCTCTCTGTGTTTCTCTGTTCAGAGCATTCATTGCATTCAATACTCCACTAAAAGCCCTATTATTTCATGTCATTCACCAAACCATTGGTTCACTCGCTCTCTGCCATAGCCTATAGGCGCCAACGTCTGCCATATGAGCGCCACTTTCAACACCTTTGCAATACCTCTGCCCATAACTTATGTAACATCCCTTTCCCTGTCATATGCATAGTAACACAGCATCAGTATTACTCTACTGCCGTATATCCCACCTATACATCCCATGCCTGGTCTTATCCCATACCAAATGCCCCCCATCTGAAAGTTTAGACAATTTTAACGTATAGTTAGCATTAATTGTCCCGAAAATCAATCATAATTTATATTAATTTTAATTCATTTCATTCGTAACTTTATATTTGACTTATGATTTGCGACATAAGGGCGATGACAAGAATAGAGCACAGGTAGGCATGCGATTGGGTTGTCATTGATTTTCTGTTTGTTTCAGCAATTTATTGATATATTGAATGCATTGTGTTTTCACGTAAATTCAATTTGTTTTCACAATTCCAGTAATTGTTTCATTTCGTTGATTTATTTTGAAGAGAGAGAGAGAGAGAGAGAGAGAGAGAATCCATTCATTGAATAATAGTCGTGTTGCTAATCATTATAAGCGCTAAATATATTGTGAAATAATGTGCTTTTGATTAAAAGCCAGAATTGTGTGGCGAAGAGAAAGTTGGTCTAACTTTTTGTAAATAAGTTATGAAAATGAGGCCTATTTTTGGCTCAAACACTCATTTTTAAATATATTCTCAAATAAACATTTCGTAAGAATAACACAATTCTGCGTGACTTTCGTTTCTCATAAGCCATAAACACAACAGAATATTCTGCACCAAAAAAGCCCGTCTGCTTACTCTCACTGTGTGTGTCAGCCCTGGCTTTCACTGAACTCTTTGCGCTAATTTTCACAACATTTTTAATAAAGGGTTTGCAAACATATATTTGTGGATATACTGAAAAACAAACAAAATATATACTTCCCATATATTTCATACTAAATACTTTAATACCATGTATTACATAAACTAAACGTAACTACGATATGGTATAATCTGTTAAAATGTAATATAATATTACTAATATTGTTTCTCTACCTCCCGGTGCACAGCACTGACAATACAGTGAGAATACAGAAAATAATAATATAGTGTATAGATTTTCGCTATAATCCGTAACATTAGAAACAATTATTCTGTTAAAATTACTAATATTGTTTCTCTACCTCCCGGTGCACAGCACTGACAATACAGTGAGAATACAGAAAATAATAATATAGTGTATAGATTTTCGCTATAATCCGTAACATTAGAAACAATTATTCTGTTAAATATCAGATAAAAATCGGAAAACTTATTAGAAATCTAGTACTCAATACACTATATATTCTTTCGACCAAATAATGTGCCTTTTATTTGAATAATTTGGTAAATAATTTATATTTTTCACAAGAAATAAAATAATCAAATTATATTCTTTAAAATATTATATTTTTACTCAATAATTAAAAATATAATCCATATATAATAAATTAGCATAATCAGTAATGTTTATTGACTAACTAAGTGTTAATTTATAAATATAAATACATTTTGTGGACAAAAATAAATGGTATTTTAAAGAAATACAATAAAAATAAGAAAAGTAGTGTAAATGCAATGAAAAAGTGATAAATATTTCTTTCTAATCGTCATTCTTAAAGAATTTATAAATAAATGTTTACTAATAAATTACTAATATTGTTTCTCTACCTCCCGGTGCACAGCACTGACAATACAGTGAGAATACAGAAAATAATAATATAGTGTATAGATTTTCGCTATAATCCGTAACATTAGAAACAATTATTCTGTTAATATCAGATAAAAATTGGAAAACTTATTAGAAATCCAGTACTCAATACACTATATATTCTTTCGATCAAATAATGTGTCTTTTATTTAAATAATTTCGTAAATAATGTAATATTTTTCACAAGGAATAAAAAATCAAATTATATTCTTTAAAATATTATGTTTTTACTCATGAATTAAAAATATAATCAATTTATAATAAATTAGCATAATCAGTAATGTTTATTGACTAACAAGTTATAAGTGTTAATTTATAAATATAAATACATTTTGTGGACAAAAATAAATGGTATTTTAAAGAAATACAATAAAAATAAGAAAAGTAGTGTAAATGCAATGAAAAAGTGATAAATATTTCTTTCTAATCGTCATTCTTAAAGAATTTATAAATAAATGTTTACTAATACTATATTTATATACAGCATATGTACTGCAAGTGTAAAACAAATTAAATACTTATTTACTAATACTGTGCATAAAAAACATTATAATTACTAGTGATCGGCAATTATCTACCATGGTAGGTTACCCGTTAACATCCCTACTAGTTAGTTACATTATAATCTATGGAACACTTGGGACATCTATGGGATAATTGATGGCAAACACCTCTATTTGCCGATCCCTAATAATTACAGAATATGTGTTTATAATGAATCATTATTAATGCTCTCTCTCTCTCTCTCTCTCTCTCTCTCTCTCTCTCTCAAGTGAATCAAAACTAATGAATTCATTGATAACTTTATAGCGATTGACATTAATTATAATTACAGAATATGTGTTATAACGATGCTCTCTCTCTCTCTCTCTCTCTCTCTCTCTCTCTTTCTTTCTTTCTTTCTTTCTTTCTTTCTTTCTAAAAAACAAGTATTTCACAAAACTATAGCAAATGCAACAAAAACTAAGCAAAAAAGTTTAAAATTAAGTGAATTTCAATAAACTGATGGAAGAGAGGAAAAGTACCGAAGAAACAAGTTTTGTATGAAATAAAAAATATTCCCACAAAAGGCATAAAACATTAGCAAAAAAGTTTGCAAACAGTATTTGAGACAACGAGAGGGCAGTACTACTGATGGCATCAAAATAAGCGCCAATTCATTGCATGAAAACATTAAAAGGTTTTGTCCTTTAAATGCGCCAAAAGTTTTGCCTCAAAAACAGTGCAAAAAGTCTTCGCAAACAATCAGACATTTGATTCACACAACGCTATTGTCTCACACATTGTCATCACTTCCCGACCACTCTTATTGTCTTCTAGTGTTTTTGTCAACCATATAGTGATTCAACTGAAGTGACAATAATGTCGGCAACAATTCAGACACAAATCAATTTCAAAGTCCGTAAGAGTTGTCGAAATACACCGAAAGTCAATTACGACGAGAAAGCGGTGCCGAAGACTGTCATCATTGGGACCAAGTGTTTGACTGAAACCAAACCCAGAGGTAGAGGCAGACCACGAGTGAGACGCCATTCGGTGGACGACGATTTGGTGGACAACGTGTCGGCAAACAAACCGTTAGACGAGAATGAGTCCACTTTGAGGTCGAGTCCCACCAAAATCAAGAAGACATCGAAGAAGACGTCCGCCGATGAAAGACACGAAAACATTTCGGTCTTATCGAAGACCAAACAGCTGTTGAGTCCATCGATTGTGGACTCAGTGGTCGGCAGAGACGCCGAATGCCAACGAATCGGACAACTGTTGACCAAACATCTGGAGTCGAAACGGGCGGTCAGTCTCTATATATCTGGTTCTGCGGGCACTGGGAAGACATTGTCGGTCACACATGTGACCAATCAATTGGCGAAATCGTTTGATTTCAAGTTAATTACCATTAATTGCATGTCTTTCCGGAACTCGAACTCCATTTACAACAAAATACTCACAGAATTCAATCACAAGAAGCAAACAAAACAAAGCGATTGTTTGCAGACAATCAACGGATTAATGTCTGACTCGAAGTCCAACCAAATGGTTGTCATAATTCTGGACGAAATCGATCAGCTGTTGGAGTCTAAGAGTCACGACGTCCTCAACACTATCTTTTTGTGGACAAAACTACCCAAAAGTCGTCTAATTCTCGTCGGAATCGCAAACGCGTTAGACTTTACCACAAGAGTGTTGTCGCGGATCAAAGCGATCGGTGTCTCCAATATTGAAGAGTTTCATTTCACGCCATATAATACACAACAGATCGCAGCCATTATCGAGGATCGGATCAAACGGGCGTCCGATGAGCGCAATGTACTCATCACTCCTCTGGCCGTCCAATTGTGCGCCCGAAAGATCAGCTCTTGTAGTGGAGACATACGAAAAGCGCTCGACGTCTGTCGTCGCGCTCTCGATCTGATCCAATCGGCCAGCGATACAACCGGTGTCTGTAATCCAATGTCTTCGCCACTGAAACTGTCGAACGACGACGGCTTCAACGCCGGATCGCCGAAGAAAAGTGCGGTTCGAAGCGCCGCCACTTCCGCGGCCAACGCCTGCGTCGATGTCCCGCAGATAATGTCTGTATTGAATCGGGTTTACGGACAAAAACTAGAGACCGAGACGAAAAAGTTTCTGCCTTTCAATCAGCAGATCATTCTCTGCGCTCTTCTCGTCGTAACGAAACACAAATGTGTGAAAGAAGTGAAATTAAGTCAATGCCTGCAAACGTTTGTCACCATTTGTGCCAAACGTGGCATCAGTTACAACGGCAAGAGTGAGGGCGAGTTCTTAAGTATGTGTCAACTCTTGTCGGACTACGGGTTCATCGAAATCAAAGGCCACAACCAAACGGCCAGAAACGCAAAGTTGTCCCTCAAAGTGGACGACTCGGAGATCAGACACACATTAAGTGACACATTATTCCTAAACGCTATTCTTCAACAGTCGGCCTCTTATGTCGTGTAGTCGTCGGCCGACACTTCTCTCACATTTCCCCGTCATTTAAATATGCATTTATTTATTTTAATCAATTTTTATTTATAATTTATTTATAATTTTAACTAAATATCGCTTTTTAACCTTTAAATTGATTCATAAGACTTTATAAATAAACATTTATTACAAATTTTTAATTAAATGTATAAAAAAAGTTTGTATTTATTTAATTTCATACGTGAACTAAATAATCGATTTATGAGCTCATTATTAGGGCTTTGCATGTGTTTTATGAAATCGATTTAAATGTTTAGATACAATGTGTTCATTGATATTCATCTGCAAAGTCAATAGGAAAGTAGTTTATTTGTTTTCCATACAATCAACAAATACCTACATGTGCTCAACTAGAATAGTGCAGTCCAGGGGTACCCAATGGGGGTCTGTATTGAGGGCCGGGGCTGGCGATGGCATTGAAATATTTACAAGCATTAAATTGACTTGAATTAATCGATTTAATGCATGGATTTAATAATTTTTGTTGACTAAACTTTTTGATAAAACACTAGAATATTCTCAGAAATAACTCTTTAATGCATTTTTGTATTCAAGAAATAATTATTGAAAACATGACTAAATCACATGAGTTTGAAGAATAATGAATATCAGGTTTTTATTATAAGTCCAATGAAATAATGACATTTTTGAACGATAACGTCAATAATGAAATTACTTTTTTTATTGTAATAAATATTGTTTTTTATTAAATAATATTTTAAAGTCATTGGTTTGCCATAAATATAAAAGTCATTTGTATTCCTAAAAATGCTAATTTAGGAATTGCCGTAATTATGATAATATTTTAGATAATATATTCATTGCATTAGACGTAATATTCATTCATATTTATTAGTAATAAATTATTACAATATTTAGCATAGAGTTTAATTCCACAAACCTACCTGTATGTAACCTCAAAGTTATTGTATTTCATTTTTTAGTTGATGTCAATGAATATCAATTTGTATTAACGATACATTAGAAGTGAAATGAATTTGTAAAATCATTTCCATAAAACTTTTTGCATCGATTTTATCAATTAAAACTTCAATCAATTTATATGACATTAACGCTAATTAACACTTTTTATGGCAACAATGTATCGGACGTTCACTCGTTATAATTAGTTGTGTTAAACAACAAAATGTTTTGACAACAATAAATTTTTTAACAAAGTTTTTTAGATAAAAATTATAACTTTATTTTAGAATAGCATTAAATTAAACAGTTTTTTCTTCACTTTCTTTTAATATTATTAATAAAAACAAAGAATAGAAAATTCAATAGAAATGGTATAATAATTAACAGTAAAATGAAATCAACTAATCGTTTGTAAGTATATGTTTGAATATATTATAAATAAATTGTTTTACAAACTTATGGTTATTATTATTATTATATATAAAAGCATTTGAATATTTTTCTCAGTAAAACGAGAGACAATGCGCTTCTCTTGTCAGTCGAATGAATACTTTTTCTCTTTAATTATTTTTCTTTTAATAATTATAATAAAAATGAAACTTTTTTATTGTAATTATTACTTTTTAATGTAAATAATAAGCAGTTTTGAAAAATCGTTTCGCAATCTAATCATCTCTAATCAATTCATTAATGAAAAATCTAATATTTAAAGTTTGCTCTAAAATAATGTGATTTTTTTGCAAAATAAAATCAAATATAAATGTGTTTTTCATATCTCTCTGGAAACTCGAGACTAACTTTTGAAATATTAATAATAATAATAATGTTATTGTTTAACATAATTGAGTCTTAAAAGACATGTCGGAAAATGTGTGACAAATAAAACAAATATATTAAATATATAAATATTTAATTAGTTAATGCTTAAGAATTGTCCAAAAATATATTTATGGTATGGTTTTCGATGATTTGCAGACACACACCACCACTATATCTTGTTTTCTACACAAAACACACAACGCATACCATTAGGAGTTTGTAACGATAGATATATCTGTTTTGCTTTTTATTACAATATTTCCGATACAATAGTATTAGAAGTGGAGTTAAAATAGGAAATATATATTAAGAGAAATACTGGAAAAAGTCTCCCCGTTTTGCGCGTTTTTATTTACACTTTTATTTGTTATATTTGTTAAAATATTTCCTTAATTAATAGGTATTTAAAGTCGGCGTTTAGGGCTCACATCGCGAATGGATTGTGAGTCTGAGTCTGTTGTGGAAATTGGGTTTGAAATGAAGCCAAACCTTGATTTAAATTAATATTATTTGTCTGTTGTTGTGGTGCTAATTGAATCACTGGTTGTGGCGATAGGTTTAGGCTTGTGTTCAATGGAGAGCTCGGGTCGAACGGAGCACTGAACTGGTTTTGAGCTCTCAGTTGATTGATGGTCGGCGGCGGCGGTTTCGCCGCTTGAAATGGATTAGCCATTAGTGATGCGGCCGTCGATGGAGCGAATGGATTGCCACCCAATGGCAACACTGCTGTCGTAATAACAACAATAAATATGTTATTATTATGCATTTTAATCGCTATATTCGCGCATATAATCTAATAGCTATCAAACAAAAGTTTTATACTATTGCTAAACAAATTAAATCAGCGCTTATACGCTCTCTCCAAACATCCCTTCCTTCCCTCAACCCATGCTATTGACTGACTTTTATGAGACACTCATTAATTTATAACACGTTTGATAACAAAATTAATTTAGACGTAAAGTCAAAAACAATAAACATTTTCGCAATAAAGTCAATGTTTTGTCATAAAATAAAAATTGCAATAAAAATATAGCGAACTTCACTGAATAACAGCTCAAAATTAATGTAAAACAATAAACATTAAACTAAATGATAAAAAAGGTGTGTAAAGAGAGACAGACCTGATGTGGTTTTGGTGCTGACGAGAGCGTCTAAATTCACTAAATTAGAGTTCGGACCCAAAAAGTTTTCCGGCGTTTTTCGTATGTCATTAATGGGCGAACCGTTGGACGCACTGGTGATCATTGGCCGCGAATCAAACACTGAATCAAACAAATCAAATAAATATACATTAATAAATGTCACAATGAAATAAAGCATTCATTTCAAGCCATACCCGGACTCGTCATATCACTGACGGCTGAACCCCAGGGATCCATATTTGTGGGCGAATTTGTAAGACTAGTACTCCAGGGGTCGTTCTGTGCAGACATGGGCCGCGATTGGTTAAGTGGTGTTGTGGCCCAGGGGTCGCCCCCGGCTTTACTATCGACCAGCGGAGCGCTGAGCGCCTGAGGCGGCGCCGAACTCCACGGATCTTTTGATACTTTGTCGACGTGTGGCGGCGACGCTATCATACCGTTGCCGCCGAACACAGGACTCATTTTATTAGTGCTAAGGGGGTGTCCCCAGGGGTCGGTCGGCAACGCGGGCACAGTAGGCATTATATTCAGACTCAACAGCTCGTCGACGGCCGACCGCTTCTCTTCCATCGCTCGCAACGCCTTATTCTTCTCGCTCTCTGTGAGCGCCAACTGTAGTCTGAGGTCATCATTCTTGCGCACCCTTTCCTCCTGTTCCGCCTCTTCCTTACTCATGGCTAACGCCAACTGAAGCTGTAGTTCCTCTTCGCCGAGTGTCTGCGGTCTCGCGTTCTCCAGTTCTGAGTTGGGATTCCTGGCGGTGGCGCCCAATGACTGGTCGCCGCCCGACGACGACAGCGACTCGTGATAACTGGACGACGATTTGGGAAGCGTTTCGCCGAGATTACCACTGCTTCCCATATAAGACATGGACTGCGCGAACCGTTCCTTCGCTTTGAGCGCTCGCGTCCTCTCGTTCTTCAGTTTGTCGTCATCTTTGAGAAGAGCGACCAATAGTTTCGACTTTTCCCTCACATTCATTCCCTGGTCTTTGTTCTCTTCGATGTACTGGAAGTCCTTCAGGGTTTGAATGGCGAATATATTCTCTCTGCACTGTTGGGCCACTTTCTCGGACCCGGTTTTGATGAGATACTCGAGCAGAACGAGCGCTTTGTAGACGTGTCGCCAATTCTTCCCGTGATCGTTGAGCCGCTTCCACACCATCTGCATTATCTCGGAAAAGGCCACCACATTGTAGGTGAGGTCAGCGATCTCTGACATGATAGTGCTCGACGGCCCCCACGGGTCGTTCGACGTCGCCTCGCGCACCTTCACCTGCGCGTCCGAGTAGTTCTTCACCACGTTCTTCATGTTACGGCTGATGCCCTTCACGTTAATCATGGTTTACGTCTTATCGTCCTTTCAATCGCTACCAATCATTCAAATAACATAACAAATCAATTAATATCTTTGTTTTTCATCTCCTATTCATGTCATTGTGTTTATGAAACAAATAAACAAATATTTATCTCATTTTATTGATTGCATTGGGAATTGAATCCAATTATAATATTAATATGTATAGTGTATTAGTTATATAACCCATAAATAATATTAACGATTAATTATAAAGTGAGACAATCGTTGTCATCAAATCTATAGACAACACAAAAATTAACAAATCATTTGACTATTACTATACGTATTGCGATA